TTTTTTTGCATTTTTTGTCTTTTTTCTTTGTAATTAGTTTGGTGTTTTTTCGTTTAATTTGTGTTTGTTTTCTTTTTTATTTGTTTCATTATGTTTTTGGGCTTTTTTGTTATTGTATTGGTTATTCTCTGATGACACCTTTGCATTAATCAGCTATGAATGACTATTTCCCAGATAATAAAGTGCAGTATCACAACGTTCCCTTGAGCCCTGAGAAGTACTACACAGCCTTCCAGCGATTGGTTTCTGAARGTAACGACCATGAGTCACTTGCTTGGATCCAGCCAATCAAAACAGCGCRAGAAACTAATACCAATACTTCAACCTCTAAGCTTGGTCTGATACTAGGGCTGTTGTTYGCCGTCTTAGTGATTGCTGTTGTCGCTATCGTTCTTTGGAAATACCTGAATCGGAAAAAACCGATATCAGCGAATAACAGCACCGACGCATTGGAGATGTATCCTGAGAGAGAGTTGTTCGAGCCACCAGAACGTCCCCGAAGGCCGGTCCATTTTTAAACAGCACAAGATAGCTGGGCTACCTGTGGAAATTGGCCAAGAGGGACTGAAAGTCAACCTTTGTTCAGTCTCCCTCTTTATCCGCTTGCAACAGAAAGCCCAGAAAAGAAAAGGTACAGATGTTTGCACAAAAGGCTAAGCTCAAGAACATACTGCTATTAATGGAATTATATTAGTTCATAAAAACATATGTAATTGCTATTATGCGTGATTATAAAACTCAATTATTTAACGTTATTGTTGATAACTAGGGCTACCTCATTGAATTGAACAACTTGATAGAAATTTCAGTTAGACCCACAATACCATGCGGGAAACAAATTAGTGATCAGTAATGAGCAATACCACTCATCAGAATAAACAAAATGACTTTTCTCTCAGTATACTAAGATAATTAGAAAAAATAGTGAAAGAACTTCAAGCAAGAGATTTTAAGGGACGACGTTTAGCCCATTTGCGCTTGTATTCCTTAGATTATGAATGTCTAACTGTCAATGGCAGGATAAGACAGCGCAAACACACCAATGCCTGGTTCATTTACTCATTCAACAAAGGATCRTTGTTGCCGTCGTATTTGATTCTATAAAGCAATATTTTGATAAGCGTTGGCGAAGACTTATGCATAAATATAACAAAAACTTTTCTACAGTGGATATTCGATATATTGTACAGAAAAACTGCTGGTTTGAAAGATTTTTATATTTATTATTTATGAAAAGTGAATTTGATTTTTATGTAAAAATGCTTTTTAGATTTATTTCACAAAAAATAAGATTAATCAAAACTTTTGCTTGTTCAAAATCACTTGTAGTACTTGTAGTTGATATTAGCTTTTTGTCTAAAAAAGGAAAATCCTTTTCGAGCGAAAAGAAAAATTATTCATTGGCGAAAGAGGACCTAAAATCTATCGAACAAACGTCACATGACGTACACGGGCACCTTCAACCAAATGATTAATAACATTTCAAATCTTTGTTACTAAGTTATTGAACTTATATAATAAAATGTTCACTTACTTTCTATCCTGATTAACACGAATGATTCACGTTCCTTTAGTATGTCCGAAGCATAGCTTAGTGGATGGTCAACTAGATATTTAAGAYTTCCTCTCTCGTCGGATAAATCGACCATTGCTGTGGAACACATAAGACAGTTGGAAATATTTTTGGTTGGACTACTTTTACTATATTTAGCTGGAAAAGGTTAAATAGTCGGGCAGAGAAAGGAAGGAAGAGAGACTAAACTGAGAGAGGCAAAGAGGAGATGGTAGAAGATTTGAAACGAGAAGTTTGAAGAAATATTCATAAYTTTAGGGTTTATGAGGGACAAGTTTGTGAGTCCATAGAAAGTTAATATAAAAAAAAGGCAGCAGACTTRTCTTTATCATCTTTTGAGCGGGAAATGATTTGACTATATAACTATCGACCATTATCAATGACCTAGACTATTCTATAAGTCAGTTCTTGAATGAGAATTTTCCCGRCCTCAAACTACTGTAACGCTGAAGATGTGGGGATTGTTTGCTTGTTTATAGCAAGAGCTGTTAGTGAGATCACTTACCATCCTTGGTGCATTTACAGCGTCGTTTAATGTCCGCCAGAAGAGCTGTGATCCTACAGTTAGGGTTAAATAAACTTTCTTCGCCATCTTGAGTAAGAAAATTTAAGATATCGAATGAGTACTAGAAACCATCATGCYATTAAAAAAGAATTTGTACTAAAGCAAACAAGTCGTCGAGGTTATGTACTCACCGCCATAACGAACTGTAATAAACATTGTTGGCACGCGTAGAAATCAATACGGTACAAGGCAATAAATATTATTCTTATTCTAATACTTTGATACACAAGTCGTTCTTTCCCAGCACAATCTAGGTACCTTGTTTGGTCACTAGTTTATAATTATTCAGGAAAGATTCAATGCATAGATTAATGTCAAAGATAGTGGTTTCTCTACTACAGTACAGATATAAYATCCTGACTGAAGTACCCGTCTAAACAAAGAAAGTAATGACACAAAAGCGAAAATTAATTACTAACGGATTTACACTAGCCAGTCATAACAGCTTGATGATTGGAAACAACAATAGACCACATCCAATTAACTCCAGTACRATAAATGGTTTCCTTGGCGACCAATACAACAGAAATTGATATTCAAAGATCAAAATTGGCCAAAAGACACCAGAGGAGAAATAATGGTGATTGGAGGCAAATTTTAAATAAGCTTTGCCGCTCTGTGGCATCTCGTTTTGTCAAAGACTTTAATGAGTGATTTTGTTATATTTATTTGGCCATCCTCATATTTCCAGTGCCCGACCTGCCCTCCTAATTTTCAGAAATCAGAAATAAAATAAAAAACTGAAAAGAGGACATAAATAACAGACAACAATGTCAAATCGCTATCATTAACACAACTTTATTGAGTTTCTAAACTGGTAACCCTTTTGCTTAGTGCAATCGGACGAGTTCGTCGGAAAAACACGTGTTGATCAATTTTGATCAAAACACTAAATTAAGGGTCTCTTTACGATAAGGGAGGGTAACACTACCACTACGGGATTATCCTAGCAAAAGGGTTACAAATACACCCGCGGGATACCCTAGTGGCAGGGTTACCCTGTCTGTTTGATAGAGAAATCCTTTTGCCTGGGATACGAATCCGCTTGTCATCAACCAGTAAACTAATTCCTGTTGACAATCGCAATATTAGGACGTAAATTACAATCTTAAGGTGGCTGCCTACTTTTGAACGTTCGAATTGAGCCCACGATGAGCGCGCGCTCAAAAACCGCTGAAAAATCTACAAGCTTTTATTGAAGAACCATACGCGTTTTGAGCTTCAACAGGGCAAAACCCTCAAATTTTGCACGGGACTCTATATTTTTTGATAGCTCATTCGAAAAAACTCCTAAAAATCTAGGTTATATCAACATTTTAGGAAAAGTTTTAAGGCGCAATTTTTACTCCAAAAGCTCGTGCGTAGGCTTCCATTAAATGCTGATTATCTCGAAAACGAGCTCGGGACACCCTATTTTTCTTTCCAGATTTGGAATCAGCATTAGATTTCAATTCGGAAAATCGAAGTTTTAAAAAAAGCTTAAATCAATTTCCAAAAGTAGGCAGTCACCTTAAAGTCAAAATTGCCGCCAACTATCTTGTGAGTTTTTTTACCATGCTGTTTGCTGCCAACAAGCCTTTCCGTATAACTTGACCGTACCAATAAGGGGTTGCCCTTCGAATATTATTTTTCCTTGTAAAGCTAGCCGAGCTGTGGCTACCCTTCCTGCTTGTAAACAGAAGCCCAACTACAGCGACGTATTTATTTTGTATTGATTATGCAATTAATGAATTAGTTTTTTTTTGAGAAATGGATGTTTTGGGAATCGAATGACGATCGATTAATTCATTGCAATCGCGAAATTATCATTTCAAATATCATRCATTAATTAAAGTGGCAAGAACAGGAAAAGACGATTTAAACCAAACGCAAATATCTAGCCAACGTTCGATGGAGACCAATTAACGTACATACATGTTCCCTTGCAGTCCGGAGAAAATTCCTGTGGTTGAGCATAAGCCATATAGAACTCTTTGGTTGGCTACATTAATAACAAATATAGTTAATTATTTATTTTACATAATTTTATCATATCATCATATCATCATATCATGGAAGAGTTAAGCACAACAGAGTTCGTTCTCGTACCCAAAGCCTTCTCAGCGTTCTAACGGAAAATCAAAGGCTCTGGTAAGACGAAACGGGTATGAGATCATGTTCAACTCAAGCACTTATCACCCAGTCACAAATCAACATAAATGACACTATGTTGCGAAGAACCAAATACTGACCGTGATATTGAGATGATTCCCATGGACTGCCACACTCGCTATTGTCGTGTCCATCAAACACTGAAGATAAAACACAATACTGTTTTCATTAAGAAATTTGTACTTTTCTTCACACACACACACACACAAAACAAAACATTCCGCTGGGCTAAGTTGTTCAAACTTATATTGAACAAACATTTTCTCTAGTCGTAAAATTTTTTTTTGCAAACCTAGTTGCCGTGAAACAAAATGCCAAATGCAATTATGCACTTATTAGTGAAAAACAAAAATTAGAGATCGTTTTTKCTTTCTTTTCTCATATCAGGAGCGTTTTCACATTACGTCACACTTATAACAGCGATAATCTATAATATTCTATTATTAATATTTTATGATATGTTCGGTGCCAGCTTGCGCAGAGCATATAGCCCGTGCTGTCAATATTTCCTCTTAATTTGCATGGAAAGAGTCGAGGTGTACCTTTGTAGCAAGAACCGGCAACATGATATCCAAAATCGATTCCCCTGCAGTTGAATTCCCAAACATACGGGTAGACATGTGAGATGATTTGCCTTGCACAACTATAAATTAGTTCAACAACAAGTTAATTAAAATCTACAATGGGCTTCTTTGTTGCGAGTGACTGAAAGAAGCGTCTCTAATTTGAAACCTTGGACCCTTCTAGCATTATCCTGCTGCTTGGAGGACAAAATAGCCCAACTTTTGAAAGCCGTCTGCGCCCGCAGATGAGGTGAGCAGTTTGATTGTTTTCTGATAAATAACAACGAAAATGCACAGCTAATGGTAGAAACACCATGTCTAGTAGCCATTCGTACCTTATACCGTCGCAACCAGCATCAAACATCTGTGGTCCTTGACTCAGCTATTAATTAAAGTTAGTTAGTGTTAAATAATAACAAATTTACGACAAGTTTCATGTACGTACTTATGGCTATATGCTCTATCGCCCAGAAACTAGTGACTTCCGCACATACATGCACTGGATCATCGCCCTCCTTGTCAATCATCATCCATTAACGTCATTTATCTTATTTTTACTAAGAATAACATTTCGTTAATTTTGTCGATATTTGTAAGGGAAAAAAAGGAAGACACCTTACCCGGTAAAACAATGTGTAGATCGTGGCCGTAGTGCTCGTTACATCAAAACGGAACGTTCCTGTTTAACCATAAACTAGAGTTATTTTCTATAGCAAATGCTCTTGACTTACGCTATGGATGGATGGATGGATGCATGGATGCATGGATGCATGGATGCATGGACTGTCATGTGACTGTTACTAAAAAAAAACATCCAGGCCTCACTTAATTAAAAGAGCCTTTATTAAATTGCCAATGACCATGACCAAACGTTTTCGATACCTTTGAACTTTGGATAATTGATGGGCTGCAAGCATTCTCAAGAAAGTCAAAAACCAAAGACATTGTTGCCATGTTGGAGGTATTAACAAAGTGAATATCATATCTGCTTTCCCTTGGATTAAATATGTTTATTTCAAACCGAGGTCAGCATGCTCTACACTTTCCCTACCTTCATGTGAAGCCAACGCATGGATATCGGTATCTTTCATCTTTCGTGCAACAAGAGTTCCTGTGGCCAGCGGTACACAGTATGAGCTGTTAAAGCAGTTGTTTTCGTTTCTTATCAAATGGTTGGTATCTGATCCACTAATGGAAACAGCAAGGGACCATCCTCCTTCTACAAAAATGAAAACGATATATTTATTCTGCTGTTCTCAAAAATGGGTTGGTGGGTTGGTGGGTTGGTG